CCCCCCCCCCTCCTCCATTAATCTAGCATTTTCTGCCCTCTCTGAAATATGTTTCCACAGATATGTGGAATATGCTTCGCTGACAGACTTAGCTGTGCCCTGTGGTGCGTCCCTTGTGGAACCTGACAGAACCAGGCCTGCCTGGCTCAGGGCAGCCCCAGCCCTGGGGGTTTCCTCAGAGACCCCTCTGCAGCCGGCACCTGGGCACAGGGCAGCCGGGACCCGCTGGGCTGGGATATCCAACATCATTTTGTATCAGGGAATCACCTCTCCGTTGACGTATACCATCACCTCAGCCAAGATTCCCAAGACACCCCACAGAATCACTACTTCCTTTCAAACAAACAAAAAAAAAAAAACCAAAACACCCCACCAAAAATGCAAATTAAAGTGTCATTTATCTTTTTCTCAGTACTATTAATCACTACTTCCTTTCAAACAAACAAAAAAAACCCAACACACACCACAGGAAAACAAAAACACCCCACCAAAAATGCAAATGGAAGTGGCATTTATCTTTTTCTCAGTACTATTAGTTAATTGTGGAAAGAACTATTGTGCCCTGGTGTGTCTGCGTTCTGTATTCTAGTACCATTGCACATGCGCCGTAAACCGATTTGTCTAATCTACTTCCTTCCAAATTAACAGATAAAAACAGTAATGCATTAAGTTACAGAATTCTGTTGTTTTCTTCTGGGATGTGCACGCATTAAGTTACAGAATTCTGTTGTTTTCTTCAAAGAAACTTCTGGGATGTGCACAATGGAAGACAGATTACTAGTCAGATTAAAAAGATGGGTAAAATAAGCAGATAGGACAAAATCATCATCAGCGACAAAGCCTGCCTGACTCTCACCTTGATCCCCACATACCTGAACCATTCAGAGAATAAATTGCAAATATATTATAGAAAGACTCCCAAACGTAAAATAAAGTCACCTCAAGCTGCTTGGCTCCAGAACAGGCTCCCCCTTTGGGTGCCTGTTTGGTGGGTGATGCTGTCACCATCCTGGCAGGACCAGAGTCCCGCTGTGCCACAGCCTAGGGACAGGGGGACATTTCGAGTAGCAAAGGGACGGCTTACACATGGGAGAGATCTGAGCCACAGAGGTGACTTTGGGTTCACACTGAACCACACACTGAACACATTCTTTACAGCTGTTGCTTTATCCCTCCCACTTTCATTTGGGTAAACTTCTACTTCTATTAATGATTGTAAACCTAAATGCTACTGGTATTGACAAGGAATAGTAACTGCTCTTTAATTAGAGTCTTACACTATAGACATGTCTATACTGACATGTACACATTTCTGCTGACTTTTTAGACCTGTGAGTAGCAGCAAAACAGTACTGT